ATAGCAACAGCTTAAGGTTTGCCTTATCAGTTAGCTAACACGTCAAGTCAAAAAACTGTTAGGAACAGTTACATCAAAAACAAGAACCTAAAGAAAATGCGTAAAAAGTAATAGGTCACGAACACAGAACAGTAGCTCAATTTTTTTAACTCCCACTTCAAGGGTTACATATCAGTTTTCATCAAAAAGAGAAAAAAACAGCAAGAGGCATAATCTTTAAAAATTTCGATACCACAAACTCTATTATAAGCACTATATTATGTTTTCCATACCTTCATGCTCAGGCTGGTTTTAGATCCAGTAAAGGATAACACTTTGACTTTTACTCTTTGTCCTTTGCTCACAACATCGGCAACATTGGCAACCCGTCCTTCTCTTCGAAGCTCTGAGATGTGGACCAAGCCCTCCCAACGCTTCCTGTAGGTGAAACAAACAGAAAGGCATGAGATGCTGTACTTTATTACTCTTGACAATCTTTCAGATCAGAGTCTGGATTAAAATATTTTGTTGTCAACTGATTGTTTGTGTATGTTCATAAACTGGTTTTTATAAGAACATTTTCTGCTGTCAAATTTACTTTTCTGAAACAGACCTTCATTTTGGCATCAAAACCCAGCACATATTATTGTAGCCTCATAACCTCTTTAAGATACTAGTAGATAAGAAAACTCAATAGAATAGTACCAGATTCATTGTGAACATCAGAAGTTACCTTAGCCCTTCCAGCTGCACAAAGCATCCAAATTGCATTATACTCGTGACTTTGCCATTGTAAATGTCTCCAATGGAAGGCTCCTCAGGTGGTGGACGGTCTATGTGCTTGTCTCTCCATCTCTCATTACTCTTCTCGACGTATTTCTCTCGATCCTTACGGTCCCTACTGGGACTCCGACTTCTGCTCCTTGACCGGTATCTGTATTTTCCCCTGTTCTTATCCCGAGTCCTAGAACGAGACCTCGAGCGAGATCTGTGCCTTCGTCTCCTGTCCCTGCTACGACTTCGGCTCTTCCTCTTTTTCTTTGCCCTAACAAACAAACATTACATATTTGCAGTGAAATTCCACATAAGAACAGAGCAAGGAGGCAAAAACAACTGCCAATACCATCCCCTAAAAACATTCTAGAAACCTACCGGTGGTCACTGTTCCTTTGCTTGCCTTGCCTGTCTGCACTAGGCATTAGAGCTTCAAGTTCTTTAAGTGCATCAGCTGCCACTTTCACATCATCTTCATCCAACATATTCTGCAAGAACAGAGAACCATTCTGTAAGAAGGCTGATAAAAGGTTTGTCCCTGAGAATCAGCCTAAAGAAAGGACAAGCACACGCGTATCTATTTAGAAGGAATAGAAGATAGAAAAAAAAGATCAGACAGAACATGAGAAACAGAAAAAAAAAAAAGTAATAAAGCTACTCCTGTATTTTGCCACAATATTGAGACAATTCTGCTTTTATACAAAAGACAGCATTTCAACACCTCAAATTATTACAGAAATATAAAATGCAAGTCCCTTGTAGTTCTGAATGTCCAAAATTTTTGTCTAGTTTGTAATCTGTCATTACTTTGAACATTAGGTAAGAAAGGCCAGGCTACAAACTTGATGTCACTAGAGCCTCATCTTCCATGTATTCTGCAAAACAGGATCAGCATGGCAACTGCTGTAACAGCTGTTCCTGATAACTACATGCAATAATACTAGCCTTCTACCCATTTTATAATTAGTTTCTCTTAGTCCACTTTTATCCATGCATTAGCAGGAGACACTCACATTAATGTAAAAAAACCCTTGAAACTAAGAAAAACAGATTTTGTTTTTAAATTATGTTTTTGCATACTCACAAAAGAAATCTGAAACTATGACCTTACCCTGATGTTGGGATTGTCTGGTCTGCAAAGGGCTGGAAACAACTCCTTCAACTTTTCCTTCTCCGATTTGGGTTTGACAACTGTCTCTGATTTTGAGATTAAAACAAAAAAAACCAAACCAAACCAAACCAAAACAAAACAAAAACAAAAACAAAAAACCCAAACTTAGAAGAGCTAGAATGATTCTGCCTTGATTTTTCTGTAATTGAATATAAAGTTTAATTAATTAAAGTTAATTAAAGTATATTAAACTTTCACCTCAACACAAAGGTTGATACAGATTTTACAGAGATTCAATTCAAAGATCACAATGTTACCTTCCTACAAATAAAATTCTGATTATTAGTGAATCTGTGGAATACATAAATACTCAAAATAGCATACTCAGTATGTTCTCAGGGCCTAAACAGCTTTGCTAATCTCCCACTACCAGAGACTCCTACTGCAACAATAATATACGATGTCTTGCCTTACAAGACTAGAATACTAACTACATCAATCTCACCAAACATGGCCTAAATCTACAAAAGACTAAGAGTGTTGTTTTCTTTTTTGCACTTAACTGCTAAGACAAACAAGGTTATACATACCTTTGCTTGTAGATGGTTTTGGTGGAGGCCGCATTGTCTGTATGAGACGTAACAAATTACTAATAAGGGAATCCTGAAAAATTTAATAAAATACTTTAAGAAATAACTGCAACATTGTTTTTCACTATTAGAAGGCAAAAGTGAGGGTTTATTAGTAGGACCAAAACAGAAGCTCAATTCTGAAGGTGCAGGTTCATTTTAAGAAAGTATCACTGGACTTCATGTATATCCTAAAAAGATATAATAACTGGGATCTGAAAATAATTATGATAATTCCATATAAGTGACTTTTCTACTTGTCATTTTCAACCATTTATTTAAACTACCTACAGTTATTCTGAAGATTTCACGAATCCAGCATCTAACCATCATAAAAATACTTATGACAGCACCTGCCTTTCTGAAAAGTTGTTTCATCCATATTTATATGCTCAGCGAGACAATAAGCAGTTCAGGTCCTCAGAAGGATGCCTTGCAAAAACTACTAAAGTTTTGGGTTTTTTTTTTTTTGGAAAAAAAAATAAGAGGGGAAGAGGCATGGTTTGATGAGACAGAAATACTCAAGAGCTAATTAGTGCATAGGTTCCCAATTGAGGAAAACCAATAATCATTCCTTGTGCCTCTCTCTTTAAAACGAAATGCTCTATAAAAAATACAAGAACAAGAAAAACACATAAATAACGTTCACTTACAGTGAATTCAGCACCATTCTTTAGAAGAACTGCTTTAAATGTGTCAAACGTAGTATTTTTCTCAGCAAGACTTATCACAAACTCGGCTGTGAAGAAAAAGCAGAAAGTAAATTAGAACAAATAGTTAAAAGAGAGTATAAATACTTTGTGTTTGGTCAGAGGCTGTTCTCCCGGCAACGCAGTGACCAGCCAGGTCTATCTACCTACAGAAAAGCTGCAACACTACTCGCCACAGCTGCCGCTTCCCTCCCAACGCCTTTTGTAAGGGCCCAGATCGAAGCATTTTCTCACGCTCACAAGTTTTGTCGAAGGAAAATCATGGGGTTGTTTCCGAATTCGAAAAGCCCCTTCGCAAAACGCGTTCTGGCCAACAGGAACGGCTACAACAGCCCTTCCCATAGCTGCCCTGAGGCCCGTAACGCCACAGACACCGCTGCTGCGCCCCGGGCCGCGCTCGCCACGCAGATCCCCAACGCTCGGGCTGGGCCCCGCCGCACTCACCCAGGTCCTTGTCGTTGATGCCCAGGTGGTTATCCAGCTCGGTGCAGACCTTGGAGACGAGCGACAAGTACTCGAGCTTCGCGAGCTCCTCCAGAGTCCCCTGGTCCGCCATGACTCCACCCCCGCGCGCGCACACCCGACACTACTTCCGCCTCCGGGGCGCGACGGAAGTAGCAGCTCGGGGGTTTGGGGCGGACGGGGAAGCGGGTGGGGCCAGGCCCCGGCGGCCCGCCCCGGGGAAGCGGCGGGGCGGGCGGGGAGGGCCGCACGGACCGGGCCAGGTGAGGCGGCTACGGCGGCGGAGGAGGCTTCCCCGCTCGTCGGCGGGATGGTCTTTAAGGTCCGTTCAACCCAAACCATTCTGATTCTATGAGAAGGCTGCCATGGCTGTGCCTCCTGTGACGGCTGTTAGGTAGTTTTGCAGTTTTAGAAAACAAGGCCCAAAACATCACACCCCAAAACGAGCTGCTTCCTGATATTTGTGCAAACTAAACTTTTCCAGTCAGAGATGAACTCTCTTGTGCTTGTTCAAGTTGAAAGGGTTAAGTGCCAAAGCATACAGGAAAACGATACAACAAACAGCACGTGTTGGCCACCAAATACCACTGGCTGGAAAACAGCAATCTTTTTGGTTCACAATACAAAACGCATTTTCTTCTCGCTGAAATGGATGCTATTAAGGAACAGTTAATGGATGAGCTTGTTTTAAAAATACATATGTACAAAAATGCATATTCTCATGTGCTATACTGGACAGCTTAAAACAGCAGTCACCCAAGAGTCATTCTCGCAAGGTGTTTTGGTATGACGTGCAGTAGTTTTTCTTAAGACTCAGAGAGATAGAGACATCAGTCCTGTTTCTTGTTCTTGTGCAGATTATGCAAGTGTCATTAGATTCTGGTGATGTAGACGCAATCCAGCCAAAAAGTCTCATCACAGTCCTTTTTCAAGTTGTGAAATGCTTAAATTCAGGCCAGAAGTGCAAAATTATGCAAGGAGGAAACAACTAGAGTTAGTCTGACTCATCAGGGACTGCCTCCACAGTAGCAGTGAAACAGTGTGGCCCACTCCGATGAGCCACGCAGAGACACCCCATGCACTGGTGACTCTGTTGAAGCATCAGCCATAGTGAGGCACTGAAAAAAGAAAGCTGCAATCCGAGGGCAGTAGAGTCCACATTCATAAGACCAAGTACGTTGCCATCTTTGCATGAGAGAGAGAATTCTTACCCAGGAAACACTAAGCCTCCAGTTTAAGGCATAGACTGAGAAGAAGCCCCAGAGGTTTGTCTCCCTATGACTTGCCTTTGTGGTGGAATACGCTGCACCCAAAAGCTCTGCCAACCTGGCCCTGTCACGGCGGGCGGTGGTACGGGGGGTGAGGTAGTGTGGCATTCCCCCGGCAGTCCACATACTGGTAGTCTTCAAACGCCAGCTGCTCTGAATGACACAGGTACGTGCAGGTCAGGGTACCCCTGCAAGGCAAAAGCAGACCAGAACTGCACTTGTGATTGTCCCAGATGAGGCTTCTCATAATGTGAAGGTCCCATGGTGAGCTCCCACTGCCATCCTGTTTTGTCGCTATTACATAGCCCCAAACACAACAGTCAAGATACCCTCACCTCAATTTCAGGTGGTGGAGAGGGAAAGCATCTTTCCGACTGCATTAAAAAAAAAAACGTTTACAAGATCACTACCATCACAAGAGATGGTTTGGCCATTCCAGAAGCCCATTCAGACTTTCTACCCCAGCATAATGCTCCTGTACCATTCCACCATTAACTTGTTCCCGAAGTGCTAGTGCAAGTCACAGTGGGTGGCTGTTTATGGCGTTAACTAGACAAAAGCATGTATCTTTCAATCACTATTTTTCCGTGCCACCTCAAAAGCTGTTTGCATGAAGTAGTTTCTTCTAACAATACACAATCTGTCAGTGGGTAATACTGGCAGGAGGAGATGTGGTGCAGAAAGTGTAGAAATAGCTGGAATCGTCTTCAGCTTCTGGCTAATAGAGAGCTTGCAGGTAGAAAGTGCAAAGATCCCATCACCCCATAGCATCAGCTAAGGACAAAGTTGCCTTAACAGCCAGAGCCGTTCTCCATGCTGTCCAAAACACACCATTTTTACTGTGCTTCAAGTAGCGTGGGGCTTCTGCGCACACTTCACCTGTTGAAACTTCACATCACTCAGCACTGATTACAGTTAAAGTCTGCATTAAGACCCATAAAACAAAGAATTGACAACACAGCCCTTCAAATTGCAACAGAAGACTAAGATTTAAACACCTGTGCTTCGGGAAATCACCAGTGACATTTCTTTAGTGACTTGGGAGAATTCCAGCCTGGCATGCCTCCAAGAGATTCACATACTTTCTCCAATCAAACACTTTTCCTAATATTCACAGTCCACTTCCAGATACAGCAGGTGAATCCCTGGCTTTAGATTAGCACAAAAGACCACAACACAAAAGCAGTTCCTCCTTCCTGAAGAAATCATGGACTCGGTGACAATAGTCTGCAGATGGTGAACCTACAGGTCCATCTTCCAAGAGCGGGCTCAGAACCTGGAGCCTGTCAGCAGAGATGCGCAGGGACATCCCTCTAGCGGACACAGGCTACACAAGGAGACAATTTCTGCTGCAGTTTTCCAAAGTGGCTTAAGCTTAGCTAATGAAAACCACTCTTCTTTCATGGCTGCATGGAGGTATTCTAGCACTGTTACACCTCGTAAGAGCTTCCCTGTCTCACAGACCAGTTTTAGCTCTAACTCAGACCAGAAGAGTAGCAACCTGTCCCAGCAGGAGCTGTATTATAAAACTGCAGTTGTGCTCCTTCCTCCCTGGCAGGGAGGAACAGCTAACCTGCATTTTCTTTCCCAGCAGAGCCTGTTGTACTCTAAAACAGTCGAGGACCAAGCTCAGCATGGTCCTCTGGTCCATCCCCTGGGCAGGAGCCGCCTCAGGCAACAGAATCTGCAGAAGGGCCTGCTTGGTCCTGCCTTGCTCTTGACAGCTGCTGTCAGAACACTGGGAGGCAATCATCCACACATCCGCAGAGAGTCCAGGCTGAAGGAGTCTGCCCCCAACACCACAGGGTAGGCAGGCATAATTGAACTACTCAGTGCTTCTAGCTCTGGACCAAAGAATTACTTCCCAACAGCTACAATCAGTATTCCAGAAGGAAGTCTGCCAGGCCAGCTTGCTTTAAGTAACAGTGACAGCTTGAGCTGTCAGTAAGCTTGAATCCAGGGGACTTGCTGGGGCAGTTAAGGCTTTGGAGAATTATCTCTTCCTCGTGCCTCAGCACACCTATCTGGGTAACAGCTCATTCACACTGCAGGCAGTCCTGGTCTTGAAGAAGAGTGACTGCAGACCTTCTTGAAGGGAGCTGAGAAATAACGTAGGTGACATGGATGTTAGTCATAGCTCTGAACCAGGCATCACTTACTGTATATGCAGCAGAACATTGTGAACTTTGACTTTAGTCCAGGTGCAAATGTTACTACAAGAGAAAAGAGAGAATTGATTTCACAGGAGCTCCCTGCACCATGTGTCTCCTGTCCTCAATTATTCCATTGCTTCTGTGCTTCTCCAAAAATGTCTGTCATTGCAATGTTCTGACAACAGCTATGCAGGCAAAGTTCTTCAAGCACAACAGTATCTACATCAGTAAAACATGTTTTTGCTGGTGTAACTGTGGATCTAGTAATCATGGGCCTTGTAAATATGCAATGCACCACCCTGTCTGCACAGAAGCTTTGGTTGCTATGAACTTCACGTAGTTTGCTGTTCATTTGCAGAGAAATGCAGTTTGTACAAGGTACTTTCAGCTGCTCACAAATTGAGCATTTAAAGTTGACAACCTAGACATCAAATTTATATCATCACTTACTCATCAGAACATACAGAAAACAACATTGTTCAGCCAACTCTAAGCAAAGAATACCAATAAATGGGAAAGGAAATGAGTTTAAAATGGATGTGCCAGACTTGTACCCAGAGCAGCTCCACACATCAAACTTAAAATGACACACTCACTCAGCGTTGCTCCACAGACAGGACCAGCAGAAGAAATCCAGCCACGAAAAGCCTATAAGCATTAGTGCTACTTACTAACCAAGGGAAGAAACCTTCAAGAATTACTCACTAGGTGTTATTGTCCAATATCCTACTGGCCACCGTATAATAGATCTGCAAATGTGAACAGAAGAGAAAGCAGGAAGTACACAAGAACTGTAGTTATGTTTGTATACAATTCGGAGAGCTGAAGTAGGGAGAACTGAATTCTCATTAGGTGTCTGAACCTGAATGTCAAGGTCTAGCCTAACAATTGTTTTTAACAGTAGGTAAGAAAATAGAATCAGAAATTGGATCTAAAAAGGCCTTTCAAAGGTCATCTAGGCCACACACCTGGCCTTTACACCAAGAATGATCAGCTGTGCTCAAACTGCTCTCACCAGGGTTTTGTCTAACCTGTTTTTACGCTCACCATCATTTTAAGGCAAGCATGCAACCCAGCCCACTGTCTGAAGAGCAGACAGATGTTCCTTGCCCAGGAATGTGTAACCTTCAAACTCAGCAACATGTAAAGTCTTAAAACACCCCTTCCTGAAGTGGGATGTGGGAAGCTGCCTGTGGAAGAGCTTTGAGTATTTGGCAGACAGATAACAAAGGAGTGTATCAAGTACACAATAAGCGCCTCCCTGTCCAGGACATCCAGATTAGTTTAGGAGAAAATGCAAGAAACAGCAGAGCTCACCTGGCCACTCTGCAAAGGGCTCATATTCAGCAGGGTTTTCATGGTGGTCTTCCCTACTACCAGGGACTGGTGCAAAACCTCTATGTCCAGCTGCACTACAGTGACCAGGTAGAAGTTGTTATTAGTTATGTTCAGCACGTTCTAGGGAGAAAAACAAAAAGAAATCAAACCCAAAACATGCATCACCTTGCAGCATGACTGTATATTACTGTTGCAAAGCTACTTTAAATGTACTCCTGCTATGACCTTACAGCAATACTGGACCACAGCCCTTTCAAATCCTCAGATGTACACGCAGCCTGGCCACAAAGGCACATACACTGCAGTGTCTCCCGTGACAGCCAAAAGGGGACAACCACGCACCTCAGGGATGCAAAAGAAAATGGGTTCCCAGAATTAATCACAATGCTGCTTCTACACAGCTGCTTTAGCTGCTTTGCGTGGCTTGCTCACTCGCAGTCAGGCCAGCCACACCTTTGATGCTGTAATACACTCTGGACATTGATTCCAAGCAACCAGAGAGTGGTTGGAGATGGTGGAAATGGTAAGACTAACTTCAGACAGTGATCAGTCAGTTAGCCTACACATGGAGTGGCACAGGAGATAAGCAGGGATCCCTTCGGATCCACCCTTTGGACTGTGTGAACTGAGCACTTACCGTCATGTTGAGGTACATACTGGTGGTGGTAGCATTAAAGCCAACGGAGGAGGCATTCAGCCCTGCAGGTAGCACGGTAATGGAGCGAGGAAACAGGAAGAAAATACTGAGCGATGTCGTCAGCAGGCAGATTGTCACAGCAAGACATACATAGAGTTTCCTGCAAAACAGCACCAAGGCCGCAATCACTCTCTTCGTTTGTCGCCTGCAAGCACCTGCAGTTCTGCTCCAGCTCAAAGCAGGGAGACAATAAAAGCTTGGGTGCCAGAAAACTGGGATAGGTTTGTGCAGAACTATTTGCCAGCTACCAAATCATAGCAGAAGCGGGGTACAATCCCACACACTGACATGGTGCATTACGGTACAAATTGCCGGAGAGCCCCAGCAACAGCACATAGGAGACTGTCCAACATCCGCTATCGCTGAAGAGACACAGCAAACACCAAATGTGCTGCAAGACAGAGCACAAAGGGCAAAACACCCAAAGGACTGAGGCTTTTCTTCATACGCAGAAGAAACATTCAAAAGATGAGAAAAGGGAAAAAATTAACAGGACTTACGTTCGTCTAGGCTTTAGCCGCTGGTCACCATATGGAATCAGAGCCACCAGCTGCTTCTCTTGCTCTGAAAGAGGTGGCAGCAGATCAGAGACCACACCAAGCACACAAGTAAATAACACAAACTGCATTGCAGGACATTGCACAGCAGCCTAGTGTCCATCTGCACTCACATCACAGGTGAGGTCCAATTAGAAGGCAAGTGTGAGGCAAGTAAGATTCCAGTTTGAGCATTCCCATCTCTGGCCAGAAACAACAATTCTCCAGGGGCTCCAGGGTGGGCTTTGAGTACTTATCTAGAAACAGCACTCCCTGCCTTCCCACCCCATCCTCCCCCAATAAAGGCAGTCCACAGCTGTCACAAGTGAGCTGCAGGTACCAAGACAGAATAAAGACCACCTGGTTCAACCAAGGACTTTAGGCAAAGGGACAGGTACCAACCTCAGAAGGCTCAAAAAGCACTGACACAGCACACAGAAGAATCACTTACCCCCAGGGATCCTTCCTGTTCCCTGACACGTTGGACAGTTGACATAGCTTTGACGTGCAGTGCCCCCACAGGATGCAGCAGTGTCGTTGATACTAGCATAATCGGCGATTTCATCTTCAGCGTCCAGTTGCCTGGGTAAGATGAGTTTGTCTTCACTCTCCTTTTGGTCAGTTGTTTTCCAGAACTGTGAAAGTTTTCCACCCATGGTTGAAGGAAGAATTCTCACTAGGTGTCCAACACAAAACTGCATTAAGAAAATTGTCTCTGTGAACCAACCTCCAAGAGCAGCACCATTAGCATTTGTAGTAGATCATAAGTATCTTAACATTTAGCAAATTTCCTAAAAGCACAGGTCTGAAGTTGCTTTAAAAGATGAGTTACTGCAAGTAACTCCCTCTTTTAAACATTCAATCTTCTTCTAGATACCCTGGTTGCAGGAGAATGCCACCCTACAGAGTAGCATACCAGATTCATCTTTATCTCATAGCATTTGGTAACAGAGGGGAACACGAACTCAAAGCTCCTGAAGGTTTCAAGATGACAACACAGCCCAGAAGCACAACTGCCAAGTTCTTGACTGGTCACTATTCACCTACATCCAACAGGAAACTCACCTGAACATCAAGGCCTTGGCAATCCCAATTGAGCACAGCGTTACTAACAGTAACAGTAGCCTGACTAAAATCAAACAGCGTGCAAACAGAATCTAAAAATACGCAAAATAAAATAACAGAATCTAATAATAGCCTATTTTAAAAAAATTAAAAAGACAGTTGAACTAGTTTCCCCAGGCTTTTGACAATCCAAAACTTCTACATCAGCTCCCAGTAATCCTCCCAAAAGCACTAACAATACCAAGCTGAATAAAAGCAACTGTATTTCCATCAAAGACATCAGTCGAATGCAGTTTCCTACCTCTGCCAGTCTCTCCTCAAGGCAGTCTCGTTTCAGCAACTCAAGTATAGGGAGGATGTTTAGCTTTGATAGCCGGCTGCTTCTACATTTGTGCAGATGATCCAGAAGCTTTGTGTGAATAATCGCTCGGGGCTCCGTTATAAAACACACTGGGGATGGAAGTCGCTGTCTGGCAGTGGAGAACCACCGCAGCAGAGCTGCAGAGCACGGGGCTCACTCCACAGCCCACAGACCTGGGCCACGACCGCAGGGCGTGAGCTGATTCCAGGGGCAGCTACTGGTTTCCTCGCTGACAGAGGAAGAACCGGGATCTCATTTAACCCGCAGGGGTGGACACGGCTGCAGCACAGCCCGTTCGGCCCTGGGGCGCCAGAGGGGCCTTCCAGCAGCCCCGTACCCCAGGTATGTGGCTCTGCAGGGCCACTGCACGGAGGCTCCGGGTAATTCGGCGCTCCCCACCCTCGTGCAGCACGCCGAGGGGAAGGGCGGGACAAAGACGCCTGCAGGATCTGCGCTTTTCTAACACTGGAAGGGCCTTATTACATTGTACTGCACGTCCCATCTCTGCAGCCTCCCGAGGGTCCCGGGCAGTGAGGCTGCAGCGTCGCCCGCGCCCTCAGTTGATGTTCTCTGGCCTTTCGGAAACCGG